TGCAGTCCCTTCTAGAAGAGAACACATTTTAGGAAACCAAGGGTATGTGAAATTCAATGGAAACGTCAGATCTACACATATCATTGTGGGAAAATTTAATTACAAGTCCTTCATCACTATAAACGAAATAAGGCGAATCCATCTCGTGTAGCTGATTTACTTATAGTCTCGAAACCCTACCTACTTCATACCTACCTTACATGTATGCAGATAAGTAAAGTTGACACTTGTGTTATGTGTGTGGATGCATCTGCGGAATACTTATGAATCCATTCAAAATTTGGAACCTAAACCAGATTCCAGATTAATCAAGCCTCCTCCCTTAACTGTGGCCTTTCTTGCTTCCTCTTCATCTCGCTAATTCTGATCAATGGCCAGATGTAGCACTCGCTTAACTTGTTACACTCAGTCCTAGATAGTCTTTCTTTGTTTACTATTATAATGTTCAAATTTCTCTGTGATTTGCCAAGCTTCTTCGAGAGCTGGAAAGTAGCATGAGGAATTTGGATGCAGAAATGTTCAGTTACCTATTTGGTCCTAAATAGTTGATCAATTTCATTCTATTCCTTAAAATGTTGTAATAACTGACTAAGCTTTTAAGACTACCAGATCTTGTTTTCACGCTATTTTGCTTAAGGTTATGAGGAGGTGGTAGTTGAATTTTCCCACAATCATGTGAACAAGCCTTACATTTCCATCGAATTTCTCAAAGCCTTGCTTCCAAAAAAGTATTATGCATGCTGGACTGCAGTTCCGACCCCGATCAGGGCCTGAAAGTCTAGTGTATAATCTTGACACATTAACGACTACGCCAGAATGCCACCTCTTGCTTATCGGGTACCGATCTAATGTTAATCCTAAAGCCTGTATAGCCACATTTATCAGAAAATTAGTGTACATCGACACTATATCAAAATTTGCAAACAAATCTTCATGTTGTATCACTTGCAACAAAGTTATAACGATTCATTATTGAAAAAGGCAGAGGTTTATTTTAGTTAAATAAAATTTAATCGTGATAAATTATGCCTCATGCATGCCTAATTATTCATAATTGCTTTAGGTAAGACTCCTTCTTATTGAATTTTAGACAGACCAACGTATTTAGAGGGGAAGCAACGCGTTGAAGAAGTCTATCTATTTTCCATTGATGTAGTTCTGCATTCCTAATCCACAGTTGGACTTCAAATACATATGGTCTGCTAAAAATCCACAATGAGGAAGTACACATAAAACAATTTTTCGTTGTTCATATTTTATAAAAGTTTACACAAGCTTCGACTTTATTTTTGAGATTATATTTTCTGGGCAACATGAGAAACCCTGATGTAAAATTGTTCAGTTACCTGTTTGGCCCTAAATAGTTGACCACTATCATTCTATTCCTTAAAATGTTGTAATAACTGATTACGCTTTTGAGACAACCAGTAGATCTTTTTCTTCACTCTATTTTAGATATGAAGAAAAACTGGGTTTCGATGAATCTCTTTAGATAATATTGTTAGGGGGAATTTCAGTTCGTATGAAAGTGAATGAAGAAGAGATTCGTTGGTCGATCCCACCAGATGAGGACAGATGAATCTCGTTGTACTGTAGCTGTTTGGCTTTTATACGATATTCGTCCACAAGACTTCTTCCCTCGTTTCGGGTAAAAACATGCTGAGCTTTCGTCCATCATATGATGAACATCATCAGGTCTGGGTTTCATTCTTGTAAGAGTCTCAAGTTAAAACTAGGCTAACAACACTATCCGGCTCTATCTTACTTCTTATATAGACTCAATTGAGCCAAATGAAAATTAAAAACCTAGATAGATCGATATAGAGTGGTTTGGTTAATTTTCTTTCATACTGGTCCTGTTATTTTATTTTTTGGTCGATTGTGTGAGTATGTGTATTTGTGCATGGTAGCGTCTATATGAAATACGGTTCCTAAATCAGAGTTGTCAAAATTTAATCTCAGGTTCTGATCCTCAAGATCTAATGACCAAAGAGAAAGCCTTGACTGAGACTGCGTAGGTCCGTAAACAAGTATGGTTGAGATAATGAGATATGAGCTTTTAAGCATGAAAATCAAGTTAATAAACCTTTTGTCCTAAGCTCTCAGTCAAGGCTTATTAACGTTTAACCCTCCAAGAAAAGGCAAAACTGGGGTTGCGTGATCTGACATATCTGGTTAGGTTGATGAGCTTATTCTAACAGTTTGGACGAATGTGAGTGAAAGTAGTACCATCACTGAACAGACAAATTGAGTCGCCTTCTATTAGATAATGGCTCAATACTCTCACTCTCTTTGAATCTATCAATCAAGCATAAGTAGTTCCTGCTCAGCTTTATACCACCGTTCTTCACATTCAACCTATTTCCTAAGCTATTAATTTTAATAGCCTCTATTATCTTTCTTTTAAACACAGACGTAACCAGCAAACCTACTAGTTTGAGACCATTTTATTTCTTGTTCAGTTTCTACTATGTGTTCGGCCACTTCTGACCGTTGGATCCAGCTACCTTTGCAAGCATTTTTGTGTTATACCAATCTTTCTCGAGTAGGTCGTCATGTCTCACCAACATAACATCGACCACATGAACAAACAACCTTGTAGCAGCTGGATCTCGATAATGGGTCATATTTATCTCTAAAAGATGGCATACCAGAAGAAAGTGTGAGGGTTTCTTTAAACACCGTTTTTATCCCCCACTATCTTACTAATTCGTCTATCTTTTTGAGAGAAGGCATGACGGCAAAATTAGGACATGGGAAAAGTTCTCAGTCTGTCTATCTTTGACTAAATGGTCTCTGTCTGAAAATTATTCCTCAATAGTGAGATATTATTGTCAATAAGCCCCAAAGGAGACTTATTTTCCAGTAATATATTTGTCAGCCGTAGCAACTCTTTAGTTAAATGTTTGCTATCCGCTAGCCTTATACTTCTAAGAATCATTGACTTAAAATTCCAACCTTAGTCTTGTAACGATGGTTGGAAAGAAAATTAAGCAAAGCCAACATATGTTGGCTTCCTATAAACATCTCTTCCTAGCCTACCCTCTTCTCTAATAATGAGAATATCCAGAAAAGGTAAGGACTTATTCGAAGGTATGAAGACCAAAATGGTGTGGCCTTTTGTGTCGTCGCCGTCTCCTTTCGTTATATAGAAGTTGTTTAAACTTGTTTTTGCAACTCGGTCATATAGTTAGGAAGACTTAGAGGAACGCACCTTGTCCGGAGTCCATTGTATGCATCATCATTTTCAGAGTAGGACATTGGACGTGGTACATTCCCAGACGTTTCGCCGGCATCGTAGTCGGCATCATCGGTGAGTCTCGCCATTCTTAGCACCATTCAACAACTCGTCAGAGACAAGTGAACCCGATCCTTTGACCAAACGTGTGCTAAACAGTTGTGATATCTCCCCTTCTGCCCTAGGCTATTCAAATTTCCTATATCCTCCTATCACAGGACTTATTCCCTTCCATTTCCATCGTGAACCTAATGTTCCTTTCACGCTGGTTGTGTGAAGATAGGAAACTATCTAAATTGTCCTTACCATGAGGCCAGATAACAAAATAATCATTCATGTATCTAACCAACAATTTGTGTTAGTATTGCCTCTTGCAGGAAGTGTTGCTCAAATCTTGCCATATAATTGTTCGCTAAGATGGGAGACAGGCAAGATCTCATAGCCATCCAGGTGGCTCAGCTTGTCAGCTCAGAGATGGTTGTAACTTCATTCACACTCGTCGAACAGGTTAGATTAAGCTCATCAACCAAGCCAGAAGTACGAGATTACTCAGCCTTAGTCATATCTTTCCTTGGGTGGTGAAAGCTTAATGACTCTGAACTGAGAGGTTAGGACAGATGGCTTCCTAACTTGATTTAAATATTTACAAGCTTACATCTCATTATCTCAACCATACTTGTCTACGGACCTACGCAGTCTTGGTCAGGGCTTTTTATTGGTACATTAAGCCTTGATAACCAAAGCTTGAGAGTAGCCATTTTGGGCCCTCCAATTTAGGATTGATATTGCGTATAGACATTAAGAAACATACACGCGTACGCAATCACTCGAACAAAAGTAGCAGGACCAATACGAAAGACAATTGGTAAAACCATTCTATATCTATCTAGGCCTTTTAATTTTATTTTGCTAAATTGAGTCTATATAAGAGTTAAGCTAGAGCCGGATATTCTTTAGGAACTAGTGTTAACGTTAGACTTTTATAAGAATGAGTTCCAGTTCTGATGATGTCCGAAAGCTCAGCCCGCTTTCACCCAAAGCGAGAGGATGTCTCGTGAACTGTGTCAATCTGAACGTCATATAAATCCAAGAAGCTGCAGTACAACGGGATCCAGACGTCGTCTTTTTGTGAGATCAACCCACGAAACTCTTCTTCATGCACCTTCATAAAAAATGAAGATCTCCGAAACAATCGTATTTCTGGAGATTTATCGAATCCTTTTTACTCATCGTATTAACAAGGTATAGTAATATAGACTATAAGCGCTTTTAGAAAATGAGCAAATAAAAAGCTTTTGCACATTTTTTTAATTTTAGTGTATCCGTAATTAAAAGATTTGGAACGGCGTGATATAAAAAAGGCGTCTGAAAGAAAAGAGTTTGACTCAGGTTTGACGGTGGTTTATTTTCTGTTCATCGGCTACACCATTGAAGATTTAACAGGCTTAACAGGGGCCATTTTTATATTACCGAAATGAACCTGAACTACCCCAGTCCAAAGTTTTTCTTCGCGATCTCATTTCTCCAAAATTCATAATCTGGTTAGTGCATAAACCAAGTGAATGAATTAAAATTAGTGGAGAGTAATGTACAAATTAATTCAATAAAGGATATCAAAGTCGTCGCAAAAATAACTCCTTTCATAAATGAAGGTCTAAGGAAAATCGAACATAAGAGGAATTCATAAGATAAATAAATACGTAAAATGTTAAATAACCCACAAAATAACATAAATAAAGAGTTATTCTAAAAATAATCCAAATTACACACATTTAGATGTAGAGAGTCTTTCAGCTTCTTGAATATGATCAGAAGGAAATCCCAAACTTGCGCCTGATACAGTCTTTTGGGTGTCCTGCTGGGTTGAATGCGATGCAGTCGTGTGGAAAAGTGGATTCAGACCGTAGCTCTTAGTAGAAACATGGTTTTGAGGTTTAGTGACTATTTTGGCGCCTCCATTCAGATAGGAGGAGCAATTGACTAATGGCTTCGAGAATCGTAAGTTTGAGGTGCCTGTATCAATGACTTCCGCAGAATCAATATTAGAAGATTTCGTCGCAAGCTGATATTAAGGAAAAAAGACGGCAAAGAATAGTGATGGAGGATCAAACCTTAAAACCATTTGAAGCATGCCAGAGATAGAATATAAAGATATGAAGACCAAGATATTGTGGCTTCTGGTATAGTCG